AAAAAAAAAAAAAAAAAAATAAATGAAATTAACGTACTCGGCAAGATGTCTTCGAGTCCTCGATTGTTCTGCTCTGTAAGATTGAGCAATGCAGTAAACATCACCCATTGCAGGAATGCACGTTTCAAGATAAAGTTGAGAACTTTGAGTTAAGTAAGCTTCCTCACTATAAACATTTATTTGAGTCAAATACTGAATGCAATAAATTGCAATAAAAAATGCAGTTGAAGTAAATGTTACCCAAAGTAATCGAGTTTAAACAAAGTTGATCCTCCTTCAACTTGGGTTTGTACAAGAGTGGGAGGAGTTACTTCACAGTACCCCCTGTCTTTGTAGTGATCTCTAAATGCTTGAGTTAATACCGATCTCATAATTAAGATTCTGGAAGTCTGAGATATGATTAACAAAATTATTGTAACTATTAATCACAATTACTCGTCTTTTTAACAAAAAATAAAGGTGTACATACATTTTCTCCTCTAATCATTATATGCCTGTTATCTAGCTGGATATCAGGTTGAGCTTCTTCATTTAAAATTGCATCAGCACCTCCAGGTGGAGAGTTTCCTATAAGTTTCCAATAGTCAACATGTAATTCGAGTCCACCAGGAGCCTGAAGAAAATAAAATAATACTGATTGTTTGAGAAATGAACAATAAAATCAAACAGAAAATACCGTTTTTCCTTCTGGAACAGGTTTCAGTGTACCAAATAATTGAACAGAAGCTTCAGTGTTGAGCACAAGAGCATCATATGTTTGACACAATTTGTCATTTAATATGCATTGTAAAAATCCCGATCCATCTCTCAAAGTAATAAACATTAATGCTTTCCCTACAAAAAAAAAGCTGTAGATTTTTTCACATCAAAACACAAGAAACAGTCATTGATTACATTTTAGCGAATACCTTGACGCCTCAATCTATGGACCCAGCCAAAAATTTTAACCCTTTGCTCAATGTGCTTTTGTGCCCGATTGATTTTGACAAGTATAGCTTCAGGTAAAGATTTATCTTCTTTAATCACAATAGACTTGGCCTCCTCTAAATTTTTTATTCTTTTTTCCTCATCTTCTTGCAATTTTTTTTGCTTATCTTCACTTTTGTATTGCTCTCTCACCCAAATTTTTTGAACCTTTTTTAATTGCGATTTAGCAGCCAATTCATATTTTTTATTCTCTTCTTTTGCATCTTGATATATTTCAGGGAATGGCTCTTTACCTGCACTTCTCATAGCCTGAAGTATTGTTTTGAATGGTTTGGATTCAGTTCCGTCTCCATTCTCGTCGCTGCCATTCTTTTCGGACGTATAAATAGAACCTAAAAGTATTAATTTATTTAAAAATTAATCCATTTTAACGTGTAGTAAAATAACTTACTCAGAACTGCTTTGGTATCAGCATCAGGCATGTTGAATGATTTTTTAGTTTCCAAGTAAAATAAAGTCTGTACCAATGTAAAATTAAAAAAAAAATTAAGTAATCAAGTGCATCAACAAAATTTTAATCAATTCTTTATTATTTGTTTTTCTGATAAGAGACTTGCGTGAAAAAATTATTTGCACAGCTGTAAAAGAAGATTTACCGTAGTATTTTGCGCAAACTAACCTTGCGTATGAATCAAGTGTACGATACGTGCAAAGTAAAGGAATTCATAATTTTAGCAGTTGCAAAATAATATATGGTAAAAAAAATTTACTAACTTGTACGTAATACAATAACAAATTATAAGTACAGAAACACCCCTAAAAGTAAAACTAAACTTGAGAACACATGCACTATTGTAATTTATTATTTATTGAGTACAGCTATACTTAATTGTACATGTTTATAGTAGCAAAAAGCTTCAACAAATTGTTGTAATAAAACGTAAACAGATAGAAATTAAATTACTAACTGAACTAAAAATGATGCAATAAAGGTTGTAAATACATATGAGAAACTCTTCTCACAATGGCACAGAATGTCTCTCAGCAGCCTGCGGCAAATGACTGTGCACACGACTGCACAGTGTTATGTGCCGTGTCGTGTGACTCGTGTGTCGTCATGTGTCGTGTCGCCTGTCGCATGCAATGCAGCTGCTCACATGAGCTTTTAAAAAACTCAGCTCAAGTTAGGTTTAGGTGGTCCCTATCCCTACCCTACCGTGTCCCTGTCTTACTTCGCGTGGCACCAAATGTCCGTGGAGGGAACAGCCGGAACAGGGAACCACTGCAGGGGGCGAGTTGTGCGAATTTGCATTACCTCTTCTTAAAGCTCTCTTAAGCCCGATCTACAAGAATTTTTCCAGATGGGTATTAAGTACAAGTAAAAAGTTATCTTGAGTAACCATCACTGAAAAAAAACGTCTGTCGTCTAACACCGCGTATCAAATACTTATTTTGTATGAAAAGAAATTTTGAAATAAGAATAACGAAAGCTCGTACTCTAAGAACATACGAAAATGTAAAATATACTTACGTAGTAGTTACTCTGATAATACATACTTAGGCTATTCTCAACAAATGATATACAAAATAAAGACCCAAGTATAGTCGAGCTGTGTAAGTTCCATACACACACGCTCGTCTGATAACTCGTATACTACATGGGGCACACCAATCATTCGTTTTAAAGAACACTTTCATTTCCCAATAAATTATGTTGTAGCTATATGCCAATAATAATAATAATAATAATAAATAAAATAAATTCAAATAGCCAGAGCGAAAACAGAA